CCCCAAAACCCCAAAACCCCGCTTAGCTGAATAAGACGTTTTCGAGGATTGCTAATTAATTGATACATATAAACATATAAAACTATTTGATATTTTCAGATTAATATTTTTATATTTCAATGTTTAAATATATCGTGATTTTTATTATAGCAACTATTCAGGGCGTCTAATTCAAATGTAAATAGTATCTCTAATCACTAGCAGGTCTAAAATAAGATGAGTATTTTTCAGCTGAGCAGTAGATATGCAAGAGTAATTTAGCCTTATTGATTTGTTTAGAGTGTGCTGATACCATTTAAGGATGTAATGAATGCTTGGAGGAATATGACGATAAATTACAAACTAACTTCTAGACATGTTTATCCTGTCAGGATGGTTTATATCTAGCCAAATGAAACATCTGATTCGCAGCTGATTATGAAAGAAATTTAAGCTACTGTGTTTCTGATTGTTCAAAATCTTAGTTCAACTTAGTTTCAGATCCAATATCCGGAAAATGCCTCAGTAAAGTTTTATCTTAACATATAAATAGATTCTGGATAGAACCTAATGTAATTATCAAAATTTAACTGCGACTATGGCTTTTTCGGAAAACCTGTATTTGATGAATTAGGAAATGTCGTGGATTTGGAATGCATAATGTGCTCTAATGATTGTTTTGAATGTATAGATTTAGATAAATGCACGTCTTGTAAATAAGGATTATACCTTCAGACAGTAGATATTCAAAAGACATATGGCTAGTGTTTAACAAAGATTGATTAGCACTTTGAGGAGACTATCTATCTTAAACCCTATTTTCCAAGTGAAGAGGCAGAAAATATCAATTAATAGATAGGATCATATGAAAGGGCTTTCAAAAGTTTGCCTGATGCAATATCAAGAGCTTATGAGATAGGAGCCAAGTATACATCATCAAAGGTTAATATCATTCTAAAATCAAAACCTAACTTAAATCATGCTATTCTGAGATAGGCTACTGATTTCTATATTCCAAGTCTTTATGATCAATACTCTTAATCAACGTAGATCTCTATTGATACAGAAGATAGATTGCCGTAGAAGATCCTTTACAAAATGAGAGACAAATGGCGATTCAAAGTAGGAGGAGGTCTTTCAATAAGAAATTTAGTTTTTGATGCTCTAGATTCTTAGCTTATCCCTGATATTGATACCAATAAGTGCTTGTAAAATGGATTGATAAACTGTTGTGGGACATAGTCTTGCTTGGAGAAACAATATGTGTAAAATTCTTTTTAATATTTTCTTTAATTGATATAGAATTGATACTTGTGAAATTTAAAGCATTGGATCGTTTATTGAATTCGAAGAAAGTCCTTAGTCTTTGCTACAGGATCCATAAAGACTAGATATCAAAGTTAGATATTTTTGTTTACAGATTTTAGAATGTTATATTTAGAAATTTCAACTTCAATTTCAACAGTTTAATTGAGTTAAATGGTTCTGGTGGTCATCTTATACTTGATAAAGTTACTTTTGAAAACATAAATTCATGCGGATCAATAATTGGAAATAAAAAACCAATACTTAAAATTTAAAATGACTTAATTGACACACCAATAAAAGTTGCACTATAAAGTCTTAGAAATACTGAATATTATATTTAGTTAAACAAAGCTTAATTCCTCTCAAATAAATAGAAACCAAATTGCACTCTGAATTATAATAATAATTAGTAGGAAACTCCTTGCTTTAAAATCGATATCAAAGAATTGAATTTTACATAAGTAGGTTCTCTAAAACACCAACTAACGTCCATTTATATAAACGAAGAGAGCTAGCAACTATATTATGGGAGTATTATTAATCTAGAAAATTTTTAGGGAGATATTAAAATTCAAGACAGCTCATTCTAATAAAATTAGGTCAAATATTAGAATTGTGAGATAGCCTAAGAAATATTCAATAATAACTAAACTTATCTAAAAGATTCATATTAAAGTCTTGGTGAAAAAAATAAACTCAAAATACACACATTAATATCAATTACTAAACATAATCATAATGTAGACATTATTAATAACACCTTTAATTAGAATAGTGGGACTAAGGGCATAATAATACTTGATGTAAATAAATAAAATCAAAATAGAATTCTAATTGCGGGAAATTCATTCACTAGTAATTTTGGCTTCTTTGAATCTAATGTAATAAATATCAGACATCGGGTAGAAAAGTTAAAAAATGCTAAATTGCTTTAGGAAGACTTAGATGAGGATTCATTTTGCTCTGGTTTTCATTTGATTGAGAACACATTTAAAACTAATATAGGATGTCCCCTCTATTCAGGGGCATTATCGAAATATTAGTGCTTACAAAATGATTAGCAATCGCTTTTGCCAAATGATAAGATTCCCTCTTTGCAAATATACTTTGATGAATAGATTAGCATTGATGAAATTTAATTTGACTGGATATAGATAAAATATTTTTCATTCCCTTTTGGATAGGAAATATACTAAATTGATCTCAATATTAATGGTCTTAGGTTAAATAAATATAAGGAGAATTATGGTACTGGAGGCTATGGTTTAATTGATTTAACTGGAAGTTTCAGAACTATAATTTTAAATGAATAGCTTTTAAAAAATGGAGAATCATGCTTAGAAACTTTAAATTATGGATATTATCAGCCAATAGGATTGGCTTAAATAAATGGATCATATCTGAGCTTTGCAAAATTAGTTAATAATTATGTTGTTAAATCTTTGGGATATTAAAATCAGCATATGTTGATGAAATCACTTTATGTAATAGAAAATTCAGCGTATTTGGAGATTAATAATATTTATGTTAATTAAAACTGGATGATTTAATTAGATTATCTTCGTAATCGATCCTAAGTACTTGCCTTAGAAAACTTCTAGGGCTAAATGATTTTAGATAATTTCAAAATATTGAATCAGTCAGGATATCTGACTAGCTAAATAAGTAGTGTTTATACAAATTTAGTAGATTTAAGAGTATTTGCAGGTATTTAACCACTCTTTGCCTACTCTGATAAAGTTAAAGTTTAATTAATTGGTTATTTCGAAAATGGATTAGATATTAAAGATTTTGTTTATACTCAATTAAATAATGATTCTTATCAATCTTTACTTTTGGATCTTAACGATAATAGCCAATTTTAAGTTCCTAAATATTTTTAAATGAGTAATATAATAATTGACAACTTTGAGTGTATTCTCTGTCAGCAAGCAATTTTCAATATCAAAGCTGAATAATTGACAATTAATAGCATAAAATTAAATATGATTGGATAAAAGAATTTTAATTAATAATATTAAAAGAGTGTATACGGTTAAGAAGGTTAAATATTTAATATTACGCTAAAGAATACTATAGAATCATCAAAGGAATATCCTTAATTGATGATAACAGATATTACTGGATTAATGATAAATGCAAGCAAACTAAACATGAGATTGATTAAGGTTTAAAAAGATCATTTAAATAATTAAGATTAACAGGTTGAAACTTTCATAAAATTCAAAAACATTTCTTTGGAATAGATAAAGCTATATGATGGTACCAATTTGATTCAGTTTGATGCACCAAATACTTAAGTTTTCATTGAAGACGTTATTCTTTAATCCATTGAAATTAATGAAGGGGCATTTAAGACTGCGTTTATTGAAATAAAAGCGCTTAAATCTTTGCATATATAAAACCTTAGAAGTTATAATATGATTTAAAATTCAAAGATAGATATTGAAAATGCTGCAGCTTTGATCTTTGGTGATTAACTATAAAATGATTTTAGTTTGACTGTTGTAAATGCGGATATTAAATTGATGGAGGAAGATCCTATAGAGCCATAGGTGTATCTCTATCCTTTGTTTTTTCTTACAAGTTTGAATAATACTATCAGTGTCAATTTACAAAATAGCAGTTTCTAAAATTAAGTGAGCACTAAATCAGCAATTTTACACCTTTAATCGGAATATATGAGCATTCTAAATATTTATAATAACTAATTCCTACAAATTAAGACTAGGTATAATGGGGGTGCAATTTATTGTAAGAATTGCAGGATTGATTAATTCGAGATGAATCAATTTTCTTACATTAGTGCTTAAAATGGAGGAGTCATATATATAGATAACCCAATTAGCTAAACAATTGAATTTATAGATAACTAGCTTAATAACATATAGCCAGTTGAAAAAGGAGGATTTATATTCATCGATGACACCTACTAAACAAGTGGGAAACTAAGAGTTGAGATCAGAAGTAGGAATTTAGACATGATAAATTTTTAATTAATTGGTGGTACTTTGGGCTCTTTCTTATATTATTAATCTTCAAGATCTCTTGATTTTGTTCTTGAAAATGTGCAAATATTATGGAGCTATGAATAAACCTAAGTAGAGGGATATTTTTTATACTCAGATCAACAAAAATAAACTGAACTTGAATCAGAAGAATTTCAACAGATAGATCAAATTAATTAAGACATGAATTTGATTGTAAAAATGCGAAATGTCAATTCTTAAGGATTTGGTATTGTTAGATAAGGTGGAATAGTTTTGGTAAAAAACGAAGTGGATAATTTTTACATTGATATAATAGACTCAAGCATTGATTCTATGTATACTACTATGGATGGGTGGTAAGATAATATAAATGGAACTGGAATTTTCTGTCATGCTCATTATTCTATTCATTTACTCATAGACAATTCTGAATTTTCTAACTTTCGTAATGAATTAGGTTCTGGAGGATTTATGTATCTAGAGGCACCAATTACAATCATTTAACTTAAATACTCAGAATTTATGCGGATTGGAAGTTAAAAAGCAGGTGGTTTAGCTATGATAGTTTCAAATTAAGAAAGTAGCATCGATGTTAATAATTGCTTTTTCGAATATTGTGGGAGAAATTCTATCGGTGGAGGATTATTTTATGTATAAGGGCCCACAGCTCAATTGGTTGTTAAAAATTAAACTGTAATTAATAATATATTACAAGAGAATGGAGGGCTAATATTCTTTGATACTTAAAATTCGAGCGTTATTATAGATGATTGTATCTTTAAAGATGTCTGCTTTTATGAAGAAAAGGTTTCTTTAATCTATATGTAAGGGCTAACAAATTATGTTTAAATTTCAAACTTGACATTTTCAAATGAATTAGATGAAAGAGATTCATTATTGTTTGGCTAAATTTATATGGGAGGAACTTTGGAAAATATAGTAACAATCAAGTAATCATAGTTTATAAACATAAGAGGAATTAGTAATGGAGGTTTACTGTACTTAAATGCTAAAAACCAAATGATCTAATTCGATGGTCTTAGTGTTCTTAGTTCTGACAATACTTAATATGGAGGAATTATATATTCACATAGTACAACTACTAATCTGACATTTAATTGTCGAAATAGCACTTTCAGTCACATTTAAGCTATATAATTAGGTTCATTCATATACTTAAATGAGTCAGCCAATCCATAAATATTTATAAATATAACTGAAACTAACTATTCAATAGTAGATTTATTGAATCCAGAAGAAGATTACGATACTTACGCCCAATCAACAAATTATGGGTTGAAAGAATCTTATGGAATATTGGTTGGAGGTTTATTCTTTCTATAATAAGGTACTGGGTAGATATATTCAGAAAAAAATACATTCAAAGGTATTATTACAACTTAACCAGTCTCTGTCTTTTACATTCCTAAATATTTTACTTTAATCGATAAGTCATCTCTCTACATTTAAGTTGAGGGTTTAGCAGGAATATATTATTGTGATAGCTGTTCAATCACATTGGATTAGATTAAAGTTGTTAGTATGTAGGTGCGAAATGCTTCTTTGATGATTGCCATAAATACAGCAGATGTCCTTATAATGAATTCAGTATTTAAGTTTTGCTATGCATATGATTATGCAGGGCTGATATTAGCAAATGGAACAGGGAATTAAAGAATCAGAATAATAAACTCATATGTAGGGAGTATTTTTGCAGATAATTTAGGAGGAATGATATATGCTGAAAATAAGGATATTGAAATTTTGTTGGATAATAACGAGTTCTACGAAATCTAACCATCATTTAATGGAGGCTTGATATACGTAGCACAAGCAAAGATTGTAAATATCTCAAACAATGTTATTTCATATCTAACTGTAAGAACGGAAGGTCAAATTATTTATAGTGAGTACTAGGGACTAATTTTTCATTTGGAAAATAATTCTATGAGCAATCCAGTTGTAGAAAATTATTACAAATTTATATACAAATACTTTAGATAAAATGGAGGGTTTTATCCCTATAGAGGTAGCTTGATATATTTAAAAAATGCAGAGTTAGTGAAATCAGTGAATAACACTTTCTTGAGTTATACTATCGCCAAATAAGGGTCAATTTTTTAGTTGCACGACTCTAAATAATTTTATGATGAAAATTCATTCTATATACTACTTGCATCTGATTAGGGAGGAGCATTTTACTTATAAAATATCTAATTCATTTCATTTTTCAATTCTACATTCGATAACATTACTACTGTTACTGGGGGATTGATTTATAGCATTGATAATAAAAATATTAGTATTTAAAACTGCAGCTTCAAGGATATTCTTGCTTTATAAAAGTCAGGTTTTATTTATATTGACAATGTAAACAACTACCATGAAACCTCATACCTATACATAGATGGGAACAATCAAAATGAAATTACAAATGTGAGATCTGAGAAAGAAAATGGATTTATATATCTCAATGACCCCAACATTAATGTGAAATTACAAAATTTCAAAATTACAAGTATTAAAGCAGGATTAAATGGTGGGTTATTTTATATAGATAGAGCTAAATCTGTATTTATTGATAATATAGAGGTAATTGAAATTTAGTCACTAAGTAAAGGAGGTGTAATGTATTCTCTTGCTTAGAATGTAGATATTGTTGTTTAGAATAGCATCTTCAAGCAAAGCCTATTGATTGGATATAATAAGACTCTTATCAGACAAGAATTTGTTAGTACTGATTTTGATCCTAGAACTTGGAGTGGGGGAGCATTTTATTTAAAAGACACAATAGTAGAGATTAAAATAAGGAATATTTCAGTAGATAATGTTTGTAATACTTATCAAGGAGGTGTCTATTATCTTGAAAATGCACAACTCAATGATTAAGATTCTAATTACTACAGAAACTTTGGATATCAAGGAGGGTTCGCGTATTGCTTAAATTGTACTTTAAAATTGACCAGATTGAACTTTGATAACTAATCAGCTATTTATGGAGGAATTGTTTTTTCTGAAGATTATTCTTAAGTTGATTTCACTGATTGTACCTTCTAAAATTCATACGTATTATATGGAGGTGGTCTATTGTATGCAGAATATGGTTTAACTCTAGAATACCCCTTAATTACTTCTTAACTTATATTTAATGGACTTACCAGCATTAATAACTTCAATAGCGATGATTACTCAGCCGGGTTTCATCTTTTAAATCCGAAATTTGATATCTTAATGAATTCTTCTGCAATAACTCTGAGCGATTTTTATTCTAATGGGTTCGGTAACGTATTTTATATTGAGAGTGCTAATTTGATAGAAATAGATAAGATAATAGTGAGAAATGTGACCAGTTAAGCAAGATACGGATCATTCTTATACTCAATTTCGTCTGATACCCAAATAATAATTTAAAATACAGAAATCAATTGTTAAAATAGCCAGCAAAATTAAAATGAGTAGGAATATCTTGAAAATAGCAAAGGATAAAGAGGGGGTGCAATAAGCATTGAAAATGGAATGATTCCTCTAATTTCAAAAAACAATGTCTTCTCTTATTGCCAAAATGCTTATGAGGGAGGAGTTTTCAGACTATCAAGATCAGAGCTATAGGACTTTAATTCAACATATTCAAATAACTCAGCAGCTTAGGGAGGAGCAATATACTGCTATAGATGTAGATTAAACATAACTGAGTCCAACTTCACTAACTTATTGGCTTTAGAAGGTTCAGCATTTTATATCAAAGAGTATGATCCCACTCTTTAGAGCACATTTGGTTAGTAATTATGGTTTAATTCATCAATGAGCTTGCAGTCAAAAGTTGACCTTAATCAGAATTGTGGAGGAACTATTACATTTGACGAAGATGAAACAGATAAAAATGAATTATAACTGAGAATCGCCAATATCAAAGCCTACAATCTTTCAACTAACATTGCAGGAGCATTTGTGTGTAGTAAACAATCCCTATTGAATCTAGAAATTGATGGTATTTCAGTTCATAAAACCCAAAGTGAGATTAGTGGTGGAATGTTTCTCATGAATTAGATTTTCTCAATCACAATTAAGAACTCAATATTTAAAAATTTTGAAGCTTTCACTCTTGGTTCTTTTATGGCAGTAATGTATTAGGACTACACTGTTAAATTAATCAATAATACATTCATTTAAAAATATAATGAACTAGATGAAGAGTCTTAAATACTGATCTAAGTTCCAGTTGGTATGTTTTATCTTCCTTATTCAAAGGTAGTGATAAGTACTAATAATAAATATTAAAAGATAGAACAAGCAATAAAGTGTGGAGTATTTCAACTAATATATGGAAACTTTTAAGAATTAGGATCAGTCTATGAAGACATTACGGTTTAAAACCAAGGAGGTGCCATCTGCTTGGATTAAACTAGTGCTAAAATATTAAATACATTATTCTAAAGAATCACAGCAACTGATGGAGGTGCACTAGTAATTTTAAATCAAAATACTTTACTTGAAGTTTATGATTCTAAATTTTCTGAAATTTTGGTTAGTAATTAAGGAGGAATTGCTTATTTCAGCAAAGAACAATTTCTATTACAACTTTAGAAACAGATTTAGTTATTTTAAAACTGTACATTTGAAAATATAACCACTCTGAAAAGAGCATCAGGGTTTTACTTCAATGATTTCATATTTGAAGCGGTGAGAATAATATCCTGTAAATTTAGTCGAATGCAAGGTGAGCAAACTGGAATATTCGATATTAATTAAGGTAGCGGTCAGATCATCATAGAAAGAGATTAAAATATAGGAGAAAGTATTTTCCAGGATTTTTTAGCCTATGATTTGATAGATGCATCATCATCTCTATATTACTCAAATTCTGAATATGTTTCACTTCAATTGACTGACACACTTATTTAGTGCAGCACATTTTCTAGCAGCAGCTTGTTAGTATCTCAATTAAAGAGACTTGTAGGTGCAATAAAAATTGCTTCATCTTAGCAGGGAATAAAGTCTATTAGAAATATTTTTAGAAATTGCTTAAACGTAACTGAAGGAGCAATCTTCTATATCTAAGATTCTATTTTAGTTGAAGATAGTTCAGATTTTTACAATAATAGTGCAGATAATGGGGGTATCTTAGGTTGCACTGGATGTAACGCATAACTTTCTAATTCAAATCTACATGATAATTTTGCATAAGCAGGTGGATTATTTGTACTTTTCGAATCTTATGATATAGTCATTACTGACGTAATTATGACAAAAATAACAGCTACTAAAAAAGGTGGGGTCTTTTTTGTTAACTAGATCTAAGAATTTTCAAATTGGAAAAATAACATCTTAATTTAGAATTGTCACAATATTGATTTCATTTCGGCCCAAGAAGGTGGATTTCTATATTCATAAAGCTTTGATCTTAACTTGACCATAAATAATTCAACTTTTCTGGACATTCATGCTAGCAGCAATGGAGGTCTATTTTCAATAAATAAAGGTTTTTCTTTTCATTTGAAAGATGTTTTTATAGATAGAGTAACATCTTTAAAGTCTCAATTAGTAACATCTATTGCACCACTTAAGAATTTCTCTTTGGAAAATTGTAACATCATCTGCGACATTAATTATAATGGAGACTCTAGTTAAGAATTAGATAGGATAGATCCCTAATATAGTAAAGTGGGGGTATTCAATTTCTTAAATGCAGAAGGAATTTACATTTTTAATTCAAAATTTCAAAAGTGTGCCTCTCAGAATGAAGGAGGGGTATTTTAGTTATCAAAAGTTACATATTTTTACGATTTCCAATCAAAATACATCCAAAATTCAGCAATATTTGGTGGAGTATTTCACATTTCATAATCTGGTGTCTATCTGCATAAATCAGAATTTTAAGATAACTAGGCTTTCAGAGGAGGATGTATACAAATAGGTTATGATTCTTTTTTGCAGATAAATTCAGTTAAGTTTAGCAATAACAAGGCTTATTCATAAGCTGGGGTCATGTATGTGCAATCAAGGTCATATTTTCATGCCTAAAATTCAATCTTTAGTAGTAACTTTGCAAATGATAGCTCAGTAGTTGAAGTTTTTGAAAGCTCATAAACAGAGTTTAATATAATGATTTATTGCACATTAGAGTTTAATTAGGCTATCTCAAATTCTATCAATATTTAGAATGCTAACTTTAGATTAGAAAAAAGTGAGATGCTTAATAATAAGGCTATAACTAGGAGCTAAAATATATTTGCTGCATTTTCTACTATAGAAGTAAAATACTTTAGTTTCATTATATTTTTAGATCTTGGATTCCAACTTTAGAGGTAATGGTAACTTGAATGTAAAAGGATATTCTAATAGAGGCTCATTTATCTTTATCAGCTTAGATGTCAAACTCTATATCAAGAATTCATATTTCACTAGAGGCTATGCTATCTAAGGTGGAGCAATATATATATCTGGAGATTCTCAAATAGTTATTGTCAAAAGCTCCTTTATTGAAAATCAAGCTTCCAAACTTGGAGGAGCAATTTATGCAGAAGGATTTTCAGCTTTAAATATTACTGGTGATTCAAAGATTTTGAATAACCTTGCAGGAAATGCTGATGATATTTACGTAGCAAATTCAGATGGAATATTTTCTCTTGACTAAGTATTGTTTGATAATCCTGGGGCTAGAGGATCTTTGATTGTAAATGATGTCTAGGTATATTTTAATAATGTGATTATGAGAAATATTGGACTAAAATAAGTTGAAAAATAATAAGGAGCTGGTATGATATGTTATAATTGTCTTAAAGTTAAGATATTTTCATCGACTTTTGAAAATATTCATAGCTCTCTTGGAGGAGCTCTGATGATAAGTATGATTGATCTCAGAAAAACTGGGGATTTAGAGTTAACAGATTATCATATTAAGGATTCAACATTTAAAAATAATGAGGGAATAGCTGGTGGTAGTCTTTATCTTGATAATATTTATGGAATGCTTATTGATAATTCTACTTTCCTTTAAAATAAAGCTGTTGTTACTAATAATGAAAACTTCAAATTAACAAATGGATCAGGCGGAGCTATCTATTTTGATTGCAATTAGTATACTCTTAAATGTTAACTAACTATATCAAATAAGTCTAAGTTTCAAGGTAATATTGCTTAGATATAAGGTGGTGTCCTTCATTGGACTAATATTGAGCCGATTGTCGATAAGAGCGTGATCTTTGAAAAGAATTTCGCTTTTATATATGGCAACAATATTTCATGTTTTGCCTAAAATTTGATTAAGATTGATAAAATTAAGTATGATACAATCAAAAGAATTTTCTCATCTGAATCTTAACTGAGAATTCTTTAATTAGTTGTTTCCTCATAAGAAACCATTGAATAATTGAGAGAAAATCAGAAATCCTTTGACACAATGAGTAATATTCCCAAATAATAATCTGGCGGTGAAATATAGCCATTCTACTTGGCTTTAATGGATAAATATAATTAAATAGTAACTGCTGATTCAACAAATAAAATTAGATTAGTTATTAATGTCACAAATTCTCAAAATTATAGGTATCCTCCAATTATTGAAGGAGACTCAACCTTTTATTTGTCATATGGATTGGCAGAGATTAAAGATATTGCATTTGCTGGTACACCAGGGGCCAATTATAGTATTTCGCTTTTGACTGAGGCTATTGATAAAACTAAAAAATCTAATTAACAATATATGATTTCACAAGCTATTGACTAAATTGATTTTAAATTAGAGATAAGTCTAAGAGAATGTGAAGTTGGTGAATAATTCACGTCTGGAGGTAAATGTGTTTAATGCCCAGATGGTTTGAGTTTTTCTTTAATTAAGATGGATGAACCAGGCAATTGTTAATCTTGTCCTACTGCTAAAGCTATTTGCTATGGAGGAACAAATATTGGTCCAAAATTAGGTTATTGGAGAAAAAATAATCAAACGTCAAATTTTGTAAGATGCTTAAATTCCTAATCGTGTTTGGGAATGATTCCACCTGAAAATAATCCAATCGGCACATGCTTAAAAGGTTATTAAGGAGTTCTATGCTAAGACTGCGAATTCGGATATTCTAGGACAGATAATAATTATTGCTCAAAATGTCCTGAACCTTATCTTAATATTCTAAGGTTATTTGCTGTCTTTTTGCTTGCAGTAATGATTGTAACATTTCTAATAAGATCAACATTAAATGGAGCAAAAGATAAAAGAAATATCACTAGCGTGTATCTTAAGATATTAATGAATCATCTTCAAGTAATAGTTTTAACTGCATAATTCGATTTTAAATGGCCTGATTAGGTAAAGGAATTTTATGACGGTGTAAGACCAGTAGCTTAATCATCAAACCAAATAATTTCAGTTGATTGTTTCCTAGACAAGGAATTTAAAGGTGCAAATTTAGCTTAGGATAGAGCATTTTTCTAGAAATTAGTCATCTTATCGGTATCCCCTTTAATGATGGTACTACTAGTTGTAGCATTCTGGAAAATATACTTTGCAGTGACTAAAAGATCGAGTAGTCAAGAAACTGGCAAAATTGTAGCATCAACAATAATTTTACTATTTTTAGCTCATCCAAATATAGTCTAGTATATGTTCAACAACTTTAGATGCTTAAACATTGATGGTGATGACAGAGTGGAAAATGATTTAGAAGTAATGTGCTGGTCTTATTTCCACAATTATATAAGCTATTTCATTGCAGCTCCAAGTATTCTCGTCTGGGGTATAGGTATTCCATTTTTTGCATTGATAATTCTTGTCAAATTTAAGTCTAAGCTTGATTAGAAATTTTTCAGAGAGAGGTATGGGTTTCTTTATAGAGGTTATAAAAAAGAGTACTTTTATTGGGAAATTTATATCATTTACAGAAAACTAATTATAATATTTATTTCTGTTTTCTTTAGGAACTACGGAGTAGTAGCTCAAGCTCTCATAGTTCTAATATTCTACATTATATTTTTACTAATCACTACAAAGCTTCACCCATTCAGCAATCTAAATCTTAACGAGCTTGAGTCACTTTCATTGATAACTTCAATGCTTACTATTTATTGTGGTTTATACTTTATTACAGACATTCCTGAGTAATGGATAAAAAATGAACCAGAACTCAAGAATTTCCTCATTTTGACTACAGAGCTAAAATTATTCTTTTTCAGTGTCATCATAATTGGAAACCTTGTATTCTTCACACATTGGATACAGAAAATGTTTGGAGAGCTCTAGTTTAAATTAATGAGCAAGCTTCCAAAATTATACATATTTCTCTGCATGTGCAATAATTCCTATAAATTCAACCAGTAACTCAACTAACTTAGAATCAAAGATGAGAATGATAATCTTCATGATGAATTTGATAGAAGTAATATTTCATTTCAATCATTAATTTATAGCATTGAGATAATTGAAAGAAATATATAGTAACGGCAAACTTATGCTTAATTAAAAATCTGTTGAGAAATTGCAAGTTATTCTTAACCCTGATCATCTGTTAAAACAACTAAGCAAGGCCAAGACAATTGATGAGTAATAAGTTCAAAGCTCTCAGGTTTAAGTTCCAGAAAAGAAGTAACTTAGGAGACAGAGATAGAGAAATATCAATAGAATTCTTAATGAGACTTTTATTGAAAAGAATCTAATTTCAAGTGATATTTCTTAAAAGGATTCTAGCCCTATCACTACATCTTTCAATGAGAGTAGTAGCTTCTAGAAACAGCAAATGTATAGTAGCTTGCAAAAGCTTCATTATCTTAGTACAGATAAGTGTAATGAAGAATCTAAAACTTTTGACACTAGAAATTTCTTGTAAATTTCAAAGGATTTAAAAGATATGAGAATAGCAGATTCAACACATAAGTTATTGGTTAATTAGGATCAATCAATCGAGTTTGAGTCAGATCAATGCGAAGTAAAAGACATTGTTAAAGTTACTAAAAACCTTAAGAGAGTAAATTAATTTAAAACTTCTGATATCAATGTATTGCCCTAAAATTAGAAGTTAAAAGCTCAAAGTAACACTGATGTTATCAAGTCTTATGGAATTGAATTTCCAATGATGTAACTTAATATCCCAGATAAACAGCATGAGTCCCCGTTCAAAGGACAGGAAAAAATGATTTCGAAGTATTAAGAAAAGATCAATAGGATATAATTGATAAGAGGCAGTCCTTAAAAGTAGGCTGAGATAATTTTAGCTAATCAATCAATCTCTTAAAAAGGATTTCATCCCAAGCTGGATGATGATCTTGGGAATCTCATAATTCCTAATTTTCAAAAAATATTAGATGAAAGCGATTATACAGAAGATGAATCAGAGCGAGATCAAAACATAATAATTCTGCATTAAAGCTTAAAAGAAATGGCAAATGATTAGAATATAGTAATCAAACCTCGAAAGCAAAGTACAAAGAAAATTAAAGAATCTTTTAAAAAGAAAAATACATCTAATTAATCTTTCCTGAGAGAATTGTCTATTTATGAGTAAAGTAAGGACTCCTTCGATACATCAAGCTTAAGACTAAGAGAAAGCTAAACCTTAAAATCTAAGAACTTACCCTTAGGTAAAAAAGTAACTCTTAAATAGTAAGATGAGTTGATAGAAATAACTAACAGTATTGAATACTAGAGCAAGATGTAATTAAGCGAGACATAAACTTAAAAAATGGCATTAGAGGTCAGTATAGCAAACCCATAAAATGAGTCGAACCAATTATTAAATGATTTATTAGTCCAAGATATAGCTGATGAATAATAGGCATCAAATTTAGAATTAGAAAAGGTGGGATTCTTTTAGCAGAACAAATATGGAACACTTATTTTATCGGATAATAGTGTGTCATCTTTAAACTCAATTGATATTGAGAATCAAATAAACAGCCATTCTGTTAAAGATAACAATGAAGGTGAAGAATTCTAGAATAAAGATTAATAATAATAAGTAAAATGATATTTATTGATTTGATTATTCACTGATTTAGATATTATAATTATCGAAATTAGCATTTAAGTTTCATTAATTTAACCATCATTATTAGGATGATAGGGGTTTTGGGGTTTTGGGGTTTTGGGGTTTTGGGG